CTTTTTTCTCAGAATTCTGACTTTAATCTAGGAATTCTGACTTTAATCTAGGAATTCTGACTTTAATCTAGGAATTCTGACTCTAATCTCAGAATTCTGGCTTTTTTCTCAGAATTCTGACTTTAATCTCAAAATTCTGACTTTAATCTAGGAATTCTGACTTTTTTAATTGTCAGAATTCAGTCAGAATTCTGAGATTAAAGTCAGAATTCTGAGAAAAAAAGTCAGAATTTTGACTTTTTTCCCATGTAAAACTAAAATAATAAAATTGAAAAATCAGTTAACTTTTTTTTTTTTTCAGTGGCCCCAATCCTCTTCCGTACGGTATAATGATCCTACTATAAAAAAAAAAGAGAATAAAACAAACATTATACTTAAATAAGTATATTTATTTTAAAAGATTTTTGAAACTGAAACTCACACAGTGCTACTGTGAGGCTCCTTGGTATCTTCAAGCGTTTCACTCTGTGTTTGTGGCCTGGTTTCAAGAAGCTGTACCAAACTCCTAGCCGATCCGCATCTCGATCCGAATGAAACTCCACATAAACCTGAAACATACACACAAGTCACAGGGGAGAAACAAAGGTGTTTAAAACTGACCTAAACACATGTCACTTCTAGGGTTGCATCCTATCAGAAACACCTTGAACTGGTGACATTAGTAAATATTTTATGGAGGATATTAGCTGTGATATAAACCTCTGTTTTTAGTTTAGTATATTAATTTTTTTAGGCCAATTTATAAAATATTTCTTCTCAAGACCCTTTAGAGAATGTATTCAATTAACTAATCCAAACAGATTGAGTAAAAGAGTGAAAGACTGCTTCACCTTAGGGCCACTTAGCAGAGTTATCGCAGGTCTTTCCTATGAGCAGCTGTTAGATATTATAACAGGCATCCCTAAAGTCGGTCCTCGATGTTTTCCTGCTTTAGCACAGCTGATTATGATGATTGCAGTTAAACAAAAGCCTGTCAATCAGCTTTCAATTAAAATCAGCTGTGCTGGATCAGGGAAACCTTTAAAACCTGCAGGACAGCGGCCCTCAAGGACCGACTTTGGGGATGCCTGCTTTATAACTATCACCCAAAAAGCTCAATAAGCATTTTTATATCTAGGCATTTTGTATTTAGAAACTGTCTGTTGCTGTTTTTCATGCAAAACTGAAACATGCACATTTTGTACATTTTCAACTCCTCCTCCTCATTGTACATTTCATGTTGTTTTTTTGAGAAATGTACAGAATCATTTTCTTCTTCATTAAAAAAAAAAAAACACACAATTTTTTCCCATTTCAGATGAATAAAGGATTATCTTATCCTATTCTATTCCACTAAAACATTTTCTATTTAAGGAACCCTGCAGATTGCATCGTTATTCATATTGCAGAATTCACTCCTCAAGATATAACATGTAGCATCATTTGACAGCTGCTAGCATTGATGACTTTACAGCAATCCCCCATAATCAGCATGCATATAGTGACAGTGGAGATGTAAAGTCCCCTTTAACAGTAAGGAAACCTCCAGCAGAACCAGGATTTGTATTATATGCCATGACTGTGCATGTATTGGTACCTTGTTTAGTAGAGGGAGGAAGTTCCTAACAGAACTGATGTTTCTCAGAGCCTTCCTAAGGTCACTGCTCTCACTTGGTGAGATGTGTTGAATTTGGATTATACTTTCTTCGTTATCTTCCACATCCTAAAATGAGAAGAGCAGGTGAACGTTAAACCTAAAAATTAGTTTGACATTACAACTGATGGTTTTTAAAATTAATCAACTGTGGAATATTACGTAGTCAGTCATCAGAGCAAACAGCCAATGCTCAGAACAAATACCTTCTAAAGGGTTTAGAGGAATATTACTTACGAAATCGATGCACTGCATCAGAGCTTTGTAAAAGCCAAGCTGAAACAAAAAAATCCAGGATAAATAATATAACAATATACAATGAGAAAATCTAAAAATTACAATTGAAAAATGCAAGTTAAAACAAACTGAACAGTCTGTTTTAAGACATTTTTTCTCACCATTGTGAAACCTTTTTAAATTTGGCTAAACTGTAGGGAGTAATCCAAAATGAGGTAGTAAGAAACAGTTAGTGGAATCACAATGTCCGCTTGTTATAAATCAGAGCCCATTCCTCGAGGGTCAGGAACCTGTACATTTTAGATGTGTCTCTGCTTTAACAGCTTAATCAAACAATTAGATCCTTTTCAGGACCCGGGAGAACCTGGCTGCAACCAGTAAGGTAAATCAGTCAATAATTCAGGTTTGTTGAACAGGGGGGCATCTAAAAGTTGCAGGATACCGGCCCTTGAGGTTTGCTGTAGAGGCTGAAACTTATGGCCATGATTAACAGCCACTTCATTTGGATTGGAATCAATTGAAAATGTGGTTATTTTTTAAAAAGACCTGTCATTTAGCTCAGCGTCAGCTTTTTTGAAATTGTGGGGGTAAAGTTCTTGCTTAGGGACCCAGAGTAGTAGTCTGTGGGAGTGGGGCTTGAACTCAGAACCTCTGGATTCCAAGTGCAATGCCCTAACTACTAGGTTGCCACATACTCCCATATGAAATAGGTTTCTAAAATTTCCTGCTACCATCTCCAAAAAAAACACAAAAAATAGAAATCTCCTGTCCAGGAGTGATGCTGAGAAACTAGTCCATACATTTGTCACTTCAAGGCTGGAACATTGTAATTCTTTA